ATATATATCTACATATGCATCATATGGCGTGCTGCTATATCCCGTTGACCAAATGTATATTTAAGAAGGAGTTCAATAAAGAAGCGACCTATTCCGTGACAGACTGGTGTAAGATCAAGACGACTTCTTTTATTTGGTGGAAGTTAACACAACTTTTGTGCATCTTTTTGGTGCCTCCTGTGAGGAACTTTGTGATCCTGATTCAAAGTAAGATTTATAAGTTTGGCAAGCCTGAATCTACGTACTTCAGCGCAAGCCGCGATTTTGCGTATTGGAAAACTGACAGAAGCAGCTACTTACGATCCAGACATCATTGAGTGCGACGTCATTCGCGGGCAATTGGATTAACATTTCGGGAGGTTCATGGAGTATCATACTGCCTTGGTTTCCACAGCACAAGCCAGTGAATTGACCACGCATGACGAATTCTTGGCTGCAATGGGATTGCTGTACACACAAATATGTATTCGACTGCGTCGGATATGTGGCGCAAGTGCAGGTGATTATCGTGTAACAAATCAATTGGACATGGGATTAGATCCAATTAAGATTCCTGTTTGAGGCACTTGTTCACAATCGTACAGATCTGGATTCCAGTTACAAATTAAGTAAGTTATATACAGGCAGTTATGAGGACATGTGGCAGGAACTGAAACGGCGTTTTGACAATCCACGGTTGTTGGTTGAATCTCACGTGCAACGTATTCTGGATTTGCCCAACCAACCCGACGAATCTCAGAAGTGCTTGCTCCAAAAAGTCAACACGGTGCAAAATGTGATACGAGCCCTAAGTGTTATGGGCTTTCCGGTAAATCAGTGGGACGCCCTATTGGTACCACTTCTGCTGCCCAAATTGCCTACAACCACCAGATATGAGTGGGGGATGAGCCTTCAGACGAACAACATCCCAATGACTCTGGACTTTTATTTATTATTTATTGAGAAGCGTGCCAACAATTTGGTTCAAGAAGCAACGAACGGTACAACAACTACTCATCAGAGACCAGCCCGTCCCGTTAAAGCTCATGTGGCAGCGGTAAATTCATTCGAGCCGTTACATTCCGGGAAAGGTGCAACGGTTGTTTGCCAACTTTGTTCTAACGGGCACCGAGTATATAAATGTCAACGGTTCATCAATCTTTCAATACCCGAATGGTGGAATACAGTTAAGCGGCTCTCATTATGTTTCAATTGTCTTGGGGCTGATCATGGATCGTGCGATTGTACATCGCGTGATTGTTTAAGATGCCATCATCGCCATCATACTATGTTTTGCAAAGCCAACGTACGACTATGGGAGAAGACATTAACAGCCAAATTCCAGATCGGAATATACCCAGAGATGCACCTTTAACACAGGTGCCACAGGTATATCCACTACAACAGTGACATTTGAGGAAGGTCCGGTCGTTTCTCGTAAATGGAGACCGGACCATTTTATTAGCGACTGCGAAGGTCATCCTTATTGACCACAACGGAAGACAATTCGCATGTCGCGCTCTCTGCAACTTGGGCTCTCAGGTGAGTCTCATTAACGATGCTACTACAAAACGTATGTGTCTTGAATTGAAGGCATTGGTTCTAACGCTGCAGTCTATAGTAAGGGCCATATAACGGTTCAGATGCAGGCTGCTTTTGACAACAGCAGTAACTTTAAGCTGGAGGCTTTTGCCGTGCCGAAAATAACCTCAGTAACTCCAGATACTAAAAAAGACGCAGAAGCCTAGAGCCATTCGAAGGATTTTCCGCTAGCCGACTCAACATTTGGCACTCCGGGTCAAGTGGATTTGCTACTTGGTGCTGACGTCTAGACGAATATCTTTCAAGAGGGTTTAAAACAGGGTTCTCCAGAGCAATCTTGCGCTTTAAACACCTGTCTTGGCTGGGTAGTATTCAGACCAGTCACAAGTTCCGCTCACACTACATCACACACATCTCTCACTGCAGACGGCAGGTACCAGGTGCAAATTTTATTTCGACCGGATGCTCCTGCACTTGGCGAATCTCATCAATCGGCAATGCGCCAGTTTTTACAACTCGAGCGTCGGCTGATAAACGACCCATGTCTTCGTGAGCACTACATCATATTTATGCGAGAATACATTGCTCTCGATCATATGGAGGTTAGCAAAGAAACCTTCATCGGCAAAGAAACTGGTTACTTCATACCTCATCATGCGCTAACCACAAAATTTCGCGTGGTTTTCAACGCTTCCGCGAAGACTTCTAATGGGACATCCTTAAACGATACACAGCTTTCCGGACCACAGTTACATACAAATATTGTCGCCATTCTTAACCGTTTTCGCAAATTCAACGTAGATATTACTGCAGACATTAAGAAAATGTTCCGACAAATATTGGTAGACAAACGACATCGTAAATGGCAGCAAATACTCTGGCGTGATTCACCAAATAAACCTCTTCAAGTATATGAATTAAAGACGGTAACTTATGGAATGGCTTGTAGCCCATTCAACGCAATACGCGCACTGCGTTAATGTGCGAATGACAATTATAAAATCATCTATGACCCAAGCCAGGCTGCCGCACCGCGTCATAGCATACTTTATAATTTCTACGTTGATGACTATTTGGATAGCGTCGACAGCGACGAACTTGCCGTTACTCGTGCTCAAGACATAGCAACTGTTTTGGAACAAGGGCAATTTATTTTGGGGAAAGTGGAATTCCAACTCTACACATGTATTATCTACGATAAGCGGTACAACAGTTTCTGCATCGGAACTGGAGTTAGACAACTCCACGGCAAAGGTACTGGGATCCAGTCAGTGACAAACTCTTCTTCAAGGTAAGCATGGTTGACGACACCTCAATGCATACTAAATGAAGGGCTTTGAGTGACGTGACGAAATTTTACGATCCAACTGGGGTATCAGCACCTGTAGTCGTGTTGGCCAAACTTTTCATACAGGACTTATGGATGGCTGGTCTGCTATGGATGCCGAACTCCCAGCAGAGCTGCTCAATACATGGTTGATATTTCACAATAGCTTGCAAGATATTGCACGGCTTCGTATTCCTTGTTGGCTGGGTATACGAGTGGGCTCTTTGGTGCATTTACACAGTCTTTGCGATGCTAGTAGTAAAGCATATGCAGCAGTTATATATATTCAAATCATCGATAACAGCGGAACGTCACGCACCGTTCTTGTTTCAGCGAAGACGAAGATAGCACCAATTAAGGATGTGTCTATACCGTGCCTCAAACTGTGTGGTGCTCATCTTCTAACCAAGGCGCTGAATAACGTACGTAAGGCTCTAGATTTATAGGACGTCCCATGTACGTATTGGAGCGATTCCACTATCGTTTTATGTAGGATCCGCAAAACTCCATCAACGTTTGAGCAATACGTGTCCAATCGTGTAGCTTACATCCAAGCCAATTCAGACATTAATGCTTGGAAACACATTCGCTCGGAATCGAATCCAGCCGATTGTGAAAGCAGGGGCCTATCTCCTGCTCTCTTAGCAGAGCATCACCTTTGGTAGACGGGACCGACGTGCATACACAATGAGCCTACCTACTACTTTGACAGAAGAGGAAGAGCAACTCTCCATAGCTGAATCTCGTCCGGTCTCCATCTTCATTTCTAGATCTGATTACCAATGGATTATGACATCCAAAAAGACAAGCGGATACCTCTCGTAGTGTAATTTAGCAAATTGAGTCGTTTACTCAACACCACTGTTTAGTTAAGGCGATGGTTACCGAAATATCGTGGTTACAGGAACGATGTAGTTGCTGTTAAAGAGCAGCACTGGGCGTTACGTCTGCGCGTTCGACAAGCACAAGGTAATAATTTTAAACACGAAACTAAATCGCTTGCATTGCATTCTAAAATTGTGGGTCGTAGTCAAATCATAGCACTCAATCCCTTCCTGGATACTGACGGCATACTGAGAGTAGGTGGTCGACTCACCAACACCGACATCAAATTATATTTCCACGTGGGCCCTGACTTACTTACTAGACTCTGATGCGCATACACGTTGTCTACATGGGGGTATACAACAAATGCTACAGTTTCTTATAGGGGCACGAGCTCAAGTAAAGTCTCTCGTCTGGACATGCCCTACATGTCGTAGGCATCTCCAAATTATACAACATCAGTTAATGAATTCGCTTCCAAAAGAAGTGTAAGTTTAGATTATTACATTTTATACTGCTAAATATTAATAAATATTTAAATTAAATAATTTTGAGTATATTAACTTTATACTTATTCACAATTTTTCAAAATATTTTTATTACTCTATGCATATTTGCATATTACCTACAAAAAATAGGTAACAAAATTCAAATTTGAAATTTCTGAACGATTCGTATATATTCATTTGAAACCGAGCGCAGTTGCAACCATAAAGAAATTTCAAATTGAAAAGGAATGCCGAATTCTGTAGCAGCGAGCTGTTATCACTTCTTGCTTATGTCTCAATTGCACTTAACACGCTCACATTCTAACTAAAACTGTTCTTGTTGCACAGTCTGGCAGCCCGTATATAGTAGAACTTTAACAAGACTTCGTCTGTAGAACATTCTGGCAACTACGAATTCGCTCTCTAGTTGCTTCGGGCATCGTCGTTTCGATTTTGTTCTATCATCCATGTTCGTCACAATATTAATATCGATATGCTTGATTATCTATAGTGTGACGAACACGGATAATAGAACAAAATCGAATCAACGATAAACTGCCAGAAGCAACTAGTTAGCGAATTCGTAGTTGCCAGAATGTTCTAGAAGCAATGTTTTGTTACAGATTTACTATATAAGGGCTGCCGGATTGTGCAGCAAACACAGTTCTAGTTAGAGTGTTGTCGTGATAAGAGCAATTAAGGTATAAGCAAGAAGTTGTAAGCTCGAATAACGAGCAATAAGTGTTAAGTTGTTGGAATTAGAAATAAAGATAAGTGTGTAGCCATTAAATTGGGACTTTTATTTAACAATCCAGTGATCGAACTCAAGAGTGAGTTACAGGTAGACGATTTATCGAGAAATCCGTTACAATAGTTTTACAAGTGTCATTGTATATCTGATATGAGTAACCTCCGCCTTGCAGAGTATTGACCCCGACTCAAGATTGCGATATTTGTTACAGGTTTAGTATAGTAGATTAAGGGTTCGCGATCCATATCAGGAAATATTTAAATATTTTGAAAACCGGAGCGCGGATCGTGAATGGCACATGCAGTTTTTATTAAACATTTATTTACATATATATTTGTATATATTTTTAATTTTAGTAATTTCAAAGATCTAGTGCATTTTTCACAATGGATCATCTCATTTTTTTTCCAATGTTGTCCTTGAATTGTTTTTTTAAACCAAACATGCTTTTCTTCGGGTTTCTTATGATTATTTGTTGAAATTATTAATAAAGCAAAATATTTTATTTTTTGTATTCTTTAATAACACGTTATGTTACAATTAAATACTGGTGTGATATCCCTTCTCATTAGGGATCACGATTCAAATATCACAATAAATATTGAAAGTGTTCTAGGTGCCTATGGAGAAAGTAGTTATGTGACAATTATTGTATCGTGTAATCTGGTAACACGATCATTATATAAATTTGAAAGCGCGGGAAGTTGGCATATGTTTTACAGAACGTTAATGTTATATTAATTCGTTAAACTAATTTTTTCGATTCATAGCACTAATTATGGCGGAGGCAGAGCATTATATTAGGGAAATACAACGAGAATATGTAGATTTTTTAGATGACGAAGAGGACCAAGGAATTTATTCCGGGCTTATTAAAGATATGATTGCTGAAAAGGGACGGCGTCTAATAGTTAACATAAGTGATCTGAAGCGCAAAAATCCTCAACGAGTTCAAGGGCTTTTATCAAATGCATGTGATGAGCAATTAGCATTTGGAAGAGCTCTAAAGGAATATGTTGCATCGGTGGATCCTACCTATGCAAAACAACATGAAGATTTTTTTGTTGGGTTTGAAGGCTGTTTTGGAAATCGTCATGTTACTCCACGTTCTTTGACTTCAATGTAAGTTTTTTCTATTATTGTAGTCAAACAAAACTAAATAATTAATTTTAGCTATTTGGGGAATTTAGTTTGTGTGGAAGGTATTGTTACAAAGGTTTCTTTAATACATCCAAAAGTGGTCCGCAGTATTCACTACTGTCCTGCAACGAAAAAAGTTATGGAAAGGAAATATACAGATTTGACTTCATTTGAAGCAATTCCTTCTAGCGCTGTCTATCCCACAAAAGATGATGAGGGAAATTTTTTAGAAACTGAGTTTGGGCTTTCAATATATAAAGATCATCAAACTGTTACGATACAAGAAATGCCTGAAAAAGCACCAGCAGGTCAGTTGCCTCGATCTGTTGATATTATATGTGATGATGATATGGTTGATCGATGCAAACCCGGCGATCGTGTTCAAATAGTAGGAAGTTATCGCTGTCTACCAGGAAAGTTTGGAGGATATACCTCTGGCACATTCCGTACTGTGTTATTAGCCAACAATATTTCTCTATTAAGCAAAGATAGTAATATGCTTATTTGCCGTGAAGATATTATCTTATGTAAAAAACTGGCCAAAAATAATGATATTTTTGATTTGTTGGCTAAGAGTTTGGCTCCTTCTATTCATGGACATTCTTTCGTAAAGAGAGCAATTTTATGTCTCTTATTAGGAGGAGTAGAAAAGGTTTTACCAAATGGTACTCGGTTGCGGGGTGACATCAATGTCCTTCTTATTGGAGATCCAAGTGTGGCGAAATCCCAATTATTAAGGTATGTATTAAATACAGCGCCAAGAGCAATACCAACCACTGGTCGAGGCTCAAGTGGAGTAGGCTTAACGGCTGCTGTAACGACTGATCAAGAAACTGGTGAGCGTCGATTAGAAGCAGGCGCTATGGTTTTGGCCGATAGGGGTGTTGTTTGTATTGACGAATTTGACAAAATGAGTGACATCGATCGTACCGCAATTCACGAAGTCATGGAACAAGGTCGTGTCACAATTTCAAAAGCGGGAATACATGCGTCTTTAAATGCACGTTGTTCGGTATTAGCGGCCGCAAATCCAGTCTATGGAAGGGTAATGTAAAAATAGTTAATTTGCAACCTTTTTTTTAATATAAATTAAAAAAAATTTTTTAGTATGATCAGTATAAAACTCCAATGGAAAATATTGGCCTCCAAGATTCGCTGCTTTCTCGTTTTGATTTACTATTCGTGATGTTGGATGTAATTGATAGCGATATTGACCAAATGATTTCGGATCATGTTGTGCGTATGCACCGTTACCGGTAACATATTTTTCAAGTATTGTTTAGTTATTGATTAATATCACTATGTATTTCAGTAACCCAAAGGAAACAGATGGTGAACCTCTTTCTATGGGTAGCTCATATGCAGATTCCTTAGCATTCACTGCAAATTCTGATGAGGTAGTACATATTTACGCATTTAAGAAATAATATATGCATTTTTTTACAATTCACAGAAAAAAGAAATAGAAATATTTGAAAAATATGATCCATTGCTACATGGTAAGTCAAGAAAGCGACAAGAAAAAATTTTATCTGTCGAATTTATGCGTAAATATATTCATATTGCAAAATGCATGAAGCCAAAATTAAGCGAACAAGCTTGTGAAGCTATTGCAACGGAGTACTCATCCTTGCGCTCCCAAGAAAATATACAATCCGATGTTGCTCGTACTCAACCAGTAACAGCTCGAACATTAGAAACTCTTATACGACTTGCCACAGCACATGCCCGTGCTAGATTGTCCAAAACCGTAACGGCCGATGACGCACAGAGTGCTATAGAATTGGTGCAGTTTGCATATTTTAAGAAAGTTTTAGAAAAAGAAAAAGGTAACAAACGACGACGTGGGGATGCTTCAACTGATGAAGATGAAATTAAAGAAAACCCGAAATCCCTAACCAGGAAAAGTAAACGGACTCGCACAGAAACATTACAAACGGAGTCGGAAAGTAATGCATATGATACTGATGAAGAAATTGAAGCGCCTCCACGAGACGCAGGTGATTTAACTCGGCGTGAAACAATTAAGTCGATTTCAGGTCCAAAGTCGATTACAGCTGTTGGAGTGGCCAATCAAAGGCACGAAGAAAGTACATCCCATACAAGTGTAGATATATCTCCTACCATATCAGATACTAGATTGAGCGTCTTCAAACATAGTTTGCAACGATTGTTCCGAGAGGCTCGGGAACAGAGTTTATCTCTGGAACGAATTACAAACGCTATCAATGAAAATAATTCGAAACAATTCTCAAGTTCTGAAATTGAAGCTGCCATGAATCAAATGACTGAAGACAATCAAGTAATGGTTGCTGATGGTATCGTTTTCTTAATATAATTTTCCTTACATTCATTCGAAGTTTTGTCAGTTTATATATTTTACTCTAGTTTTCAAAATGGCTGACTTTCCTTTGTAATGTTCAAGGTTTTGTGAGTTATTTTTCCAATATTTTGTTTTACGATAATGCTTTTGTTGGGTAGATTAGACATGACATGATTAGATAACTAGATTTGAAAATATAATTTTTTGTCATTGAAAATAAACTTTTATTATTAAAAATTTATTGGTGCATGTCCATTCATTGGAATGCTGTGCGGATGGTGACACTAATATGGAATAATAAATCGTGGTAATCTTAGCCCCTAAAACGGTTTTCAACTATACTTTTCGGTTGAAGTTTGAAATTCAATATTGTCGATGTCAACTCAATTCGCCAAAAAAAAAAATGTATGTTGAAGTGCTTTCCAACTTCATGGTAATATGGTTTTCACTCTGCCGATGGGGTTGACTAGTATACTCCCAAGACAGCCACTAATACGGTACCGGATTTTATCCGGCCAAGGGCTGCTATTTTGGCGATCTAACCCTGTTTGGACCGGTAAGTAATAGATTAAGATTGTCGTCATTGGAGCAACTCCTAGTAGTAGAGTTGCTCCGCATCCTCCTGACCCGTGCTCTCATCGAGTCCGACCCGGGAAAGGGTCCTAAGGAATATTTCTCCTGCGTTTGCGCCAAAAGGCTCCATCCAAATCCCACCTCGGTTAGGTGCAACACATGCAATGGATGGAACCATCCAAAGACCTGTTCAGGCCTCAAGACCCGAAGATCGAGGAGATAGTTGCATTTATAAGACGGGAACGCGTATGTTGTTTTTGTAACAACGACCTAGTCCCCGTTTGGGTGATAAATTCCAGATTAGTTGTCGTCGAGGTCATCTAACGGGAGGCCCAGGAAACGAGCTGTTTCGACGGGGTCGGACCATAAGGAAAAGGGTGTTAGATGATTGGGGTTTGTTGGGCATGCAATAAGGTGGTTAGTGTCATGCGGAGACTCATTGCACGCAGGACATGTGTTTGGTATGTCGGGGTCTATTCAAGATAAGTAGGAGTTTAACCTGCTACATTGTCCAGAACGAAGTTGCGCGAGGGTCACTCTGGTTTCGCGAGGCAACTCGAGCTCTACGTCTGCTATGGGTGGTGGTTTGACTGGTAATACGCCATTCACTGAGAGGGAGTCGGTGAAGGTGTTGATGGCTCCACTGTGAATGGCGATCCGTGCCTGTCTGAAGTTCGTTGCGTCCGAAGTCCGGTCGGCGTACTGTCTAATGTCGTCGACGTAATCAAGGGAATACCTCTTGATGTTCCTAGGACGCGGCTCCGCTACAAGCAGGTGACTGCAGGGGTGGTTTCTACGAAAACATCCCAGAGGAAACTGCTTGGAGAGGAGCTCGTTATGTTCCTTAACCGGAAGCATACGGGCCTCACTAAGTAGGTGTTCGATTGGGGACATCAAGAGGCATCCCGTGATAGTCCGGAGTTCTGTGTTCTGACAGGTCTGGAACTTCTTCATCTGCGTGGCACTACATCCAGGCGACCATATTGGGGCTGCATAATTTAGGACCGGCCGGCCGATTGTCATGTATGTCGCCAGGATCGTTTCTTTGTTTTTTCCCGAAGAGCTGCCGGCAAGCGATTTGAGGATTTTGTGGCGGCTCTGTACTTTGGCAGTTATCGCGGTCGTGTGAGGAGTGAAGGAGCAAAGACTGTCTAGTGTAATGCCTAAAATTTTAGGGTTGTTTACCGTCGGAATTTTGGTGCCATCGACTGAAATGTTTAGATCCAGTCTGTACTCCTTCGCCCAGTTCGTAAATATGGTTGCTGTGGATTTAATGGGGGAGAGTGTCAGACTCCTTGCACAGAGGAAGCGAGAAAGATCAGAGAGATAGCCGTTTACTTTCGAGCACATGCCATTGATTCCATTGCCCGACGTCAATATCGTGCAGTCATCAGGGTACGAGGTCACGGAAATTCCCTCTGGTGGTTGAGGGAGTTTCGAAATGTAGAAGTTAAACAGTAAAGGGGAGCGACACCACCCTGCGGAACCCCCTGTTTAATTCTCCTCAGTTTGGAGTTTAGACCTCGAAACAGTACGGATGAATGCCGACCGCTGAGGTAGTTCATGGTCTACCGCTTCAGCCCTGGAGGGAGCGTTGATTGTTCGATGTCCTCAAGTAGCCTTGTGTGGTTGACGGTGTCGAAGGCTTTCGATAAGTCCAACGCTACGAGGATCGTCCTCTCGCAGGGTATCTTCTGGTTTAGGCCATGAATTATCTGGGCGTTTATGACGATAAGTGTTGTGGTGGTGCTGTGCACTTTCCGGAAGCCATGCTGATGTTCTTCTAGACTAAGGTGGTGAGTGAACGTCGGGAGTAACAAGGCCGCAAGTGTCTTCACTACTGGGGAAAGGTTAGTTAGTTAGACTGGGGGTCATGCTGTCTGTGTGAGCTCCTTAGGGCCGTGGAGGTCCTATCTTGGCCACTCGACTGGGGTGGCGGCGCAGTGCGCGAACATGGTGCAGGTTGCAGGTTGTCGCAGTATTGTGTTGACAGCATGGGGCCACGTAACTCGTGATCCACTCCCTATGTGTCTTAAGGCCTGAGCCGGTTTAAGATGGCTCCATCCATTGCATGTATTGCACCTAACCGAGGTGGAGTTTGGATGGAGCCTTCTAGCGCAAACGCAGCAGTAGAATTCCTCGGGGACCGGGTTGCACTCGATGCCAGCATGGATCAGGAGGATACGGAGCAATCCTACCGCTAGGCGTTGCTCCAATGACGACAAACTTAACCTAGAACTTACCGATCCAAACAGGGTTAGATCGCCGAAATAACAGCCCTTGGCCGGATAAAATCCGTGTCAATTCCGGTAATGTAGAACCGGCTGTTGCAGGAACGCGTATCGATAGCTTCGGTCCAAGCACCGGTCAGACGATGTCGAGTTCGAGATATTTAATATATACTTACATCGCCCTATTACATGTTGCCAAATAGGATATCATCCGAACATAAGTGCGCTACTTCGTGGTGAAAATCGTTCTTTGCTTGGCGATTTTAATGCGCACTACGATCTTTGGTACTCCTGTCTGTAAAACGATCGTAGGGCGATGGAGCAGGCGGAATAGATTGACGATTCCACATTCTGCACAATGAATGACGAAGCCCCCACCAGAATTATGAGCACCTGTAATAGCTCGCCAGATATTACCATCGCTAGCGGTGATCTGATAAATACTATAACCTAGCGACCTATGTTAACTCTCGCATTGGACCATCTGCCTATAATTATCTCGATCGAGAAACCTCCCGACTATATTTCTGTAGACAACCACACCTTTGTTAACTTAAACAAAGCTAACTGGGTCGGCTTCACAGAATTTACCGATTCCTACGGACGTCATCGTTGGCGAGCGTCAATTCCGCAAGGTGATCGCTGCTCCTACCGCTCGCTTCATACCGTCTGGAAGAATCGCGGAACTCCAGAATAATTTCCTAGCCGAAGCAGCTGGTTTGCTAACGAGCGCGACACCTTATGCTATGCCGATCTCTGTGATCCCCGAATAAGGGGTCTCAATTTGGAGATTTGGCAGATGGTAAATCAGCATAGGCGGACGAAATGGGAAGAGCATTTGATGTCTTGCAACCTCTCCACCGGTGTAAGCTATGGAATACTGTCAAGCCCATGTCAAATCCGAGGAAACATGACGATCGGGTGAAAATTCAATTCGATGACCATGCCTCTTCGGACCCGAAGATGAGCATGAGCTATTTTAGCCAGCCTTCGACAGACAAGGTCAAACGATGTTTTACTCGACGGCTGCGTAAAATGCCAAAATGTCGCGCGTCACCGATGAGGAGGTTAAGGGTGTCATCGACAAGGCTAAAACATCATCAAAGGGTGGTTTCCTCTTCCCGTTACTGTTTAATATCTATATATCGAAACTCTCCCAACCACTAGAGGCAATTTCCATCACCTCGTACGATGATGATTGGACGATATTCATATATTGACGTCGGGCAACAGAATCGATGGCATGTGCTCAAAAGTAAGCGGCTATCTCTACGACCTTTCTCGCTTCTTCTCTACAAGGAGCCTAACACTTTCTTCTACAAAACCCACAGCGACCTTATTCACTAACTGGACGAATGAGTACAGACTGGATCTATACATTACAGTCGATGGTATTACAATTCCGACGGCCAATAACCCTAAGATTTTAGGTGTAACATTTGTCAACCCGTGCTCCTTCACTGCTCATACGACCGCCAAAGTAAAGAGACGCAACAAAATCCTCAAGTCGCTTGCCGGCAGCTCATGGTGAAAAGACAACGAAATGTTGCAGGCAACATCCCGATATGATCGCCTGGTTGTAGTGTAACACAGACAAAGAAGCTACAGACATGCCAGAATACTGCACTCCGGACTATCATGGGATGTTTCTTGATGTCTCCGGCCGAACACTTACACAGCGAGGTCTGTGGGCTTCAGGTTATGGAACACAGCGAACTATTTGAATGCAAATAAACTATTTTATATTATATATAATTTTAAACTATTTCAATCTGTTATTTTGTACAAAGACATAGAAAAAACAAATAAGATTAATTTCGGGTGTAACCAAACATTTTATACTCTCGAAAAGATTAAAACTGGGGAAATACTTTCAGGCGTTGGCAAAACTTTATATTAAACAATTCATATCCGAAATATTGGTATTAAAATCAAACAAATTAACTCATGTGTGTGATCTAAACTCACTAAAGGGGCTTAGGCCACGGTCTAGACCAGTGGTCGACATGAGAGGAACTGCGATTGTGTAGGTGAGTACGAAATTAAAGACACCGAGTGAGAACTCTGTTTCCACAAATTTTGTGAATATTTTTTATTCTTTTTTTTAAACAAGTACTTTCTACCTGAATTATTTTATATGTTACGATCAAATAAATGTATTAGACCCTAAAATACTGTATTTTATTGTCTTTAAGTATCGTAAAATACAAAATGTATTTTATAACACCATAGAGAATTCATAATGACAAAAAATTAGGCGCAGGGCACATTTCTTTTAGCGGCACGACCAGGGATAAAGGAATGTTCAATTTATTCCAGTGTGGGAGCGCCTCAAAATTAGCGTTTTTTGTAACATTGTGCATTATAGCCAGATGAGTCAAAATAAAAATTGTTGGGCATTTAAATTAAAACACCCAACAATTATTAAGATTTGTAC